AAGAGAGAGAGAGAGAGAGAGAACAATAATTATGCCGATAATGTCGGCGATCACGCAACCGCTAAACTCTCCGATACCGCTGCTGGAAGAATCAAGGTAATCGGACGGTTTGGTTTCGATATGATCGATAATCTCTGTAGCGCGTGGTATTCCACGTCTGTACCACATCACGGTACCGCACGCACGAGATCGGTCTGCGTTATACAGCGTTACCGTGAATATCCCCCTTTGTTGGATGCCGTTGCGTTAGAAGCGGATTCACACGATTCGCCCTTATCGACAATTTGCATCAATTATGCAATTACGCCCATTGTGTAAGTAACACTAGAAATTATAATTTGCGATGCACGACGAATCCCTGAATAAAACACGAATTGCGACTTCGTCTCTCAATCGCAATTTGGCTCCTTTCTCTCTGCCTCTCTCTCTTTCTCTTCCGGTGAGTTTAAAAAAATTTTATATAAAATTTTGATATGTAGAACTTGACACACGCAGTTTTTAACAATTTTTCCATATAGAAAAATCGATATATATATTGCAGCAAAAATGAAAAGATTCGTATAGGCTATGTAAAGTGATTTACAATTGAACCGTTTATATTGGAAAGGGCATAGCTCACGTTTTTTGGTCAAATTGGATCAACAATGGTTTTCAATATCTCAACTCTCTCTCTCTCTCCCCCTCCCCTCTCTCTCTCTACTCATGTTCTGTTTGAAAAGGACACGTGTCTCTCATCCATCATTGTAACGATATACACTCTCATGAATGCGCGTTAATTTGGAAATGGCACAGATCATGAATTAGCGCTACTAATTGCATTGAAACGTAAAAATATTAACTTTCCTTGGTCAGTTTGTTTTTTATCGTAAAATGCAAGTTAAATAAAATACAACATTGCTGTGCTGCTATGGATTTTTATTTGATAACGTATTTTAATATTGAATCAACAGTGCGTTTTAATAGCTACGATGTAAATTAAATTTCATGCTTCATAAAATAAAATATGAAAATTTAAATACTGATAACATACTGCATAGTAAATTCTTTCGTCAAAACAAGTGTGTTAATTAAACTAACAATCTGTTCTTATGCGTTGCATAATATACAAATTTGTTACAATTCTGCAATTGTGAATTTTATTTTTTGTTTTTAGATATAATTTTGGTGATTGCTACAAAGCTGATTAAATTATTTGGAACCCGTGGCGTTATCGAAGCGAGCGATTTAATTATGTTATCGCGAAAACTGGTATTATAGTTAATGGGAACCTGGATCCCTGTCGCCTCTTATGCTTGTATTTTTCAAAAAGCCATTAATTTCTGCGAAACGGATTGCATTTGGTAGTGGATTTGCGACGACGCGCCTAAGCGAAAACTCGTCCGTGCAATACGCACACGCACTTGGAATGATTCATCCAGGATGATCGTCCAGAGTGAACCGTGTAAATTGGGTTTTGAGCGGTCGCCTGGCCCGACCGAATTTACGCAATCTCGCCGTCCAAATGCAACGTCAATAAAATATAGGTGAGCGCCGCCGGCCGAGGTCTAAACGCGATTCGACGGGCGTCGTTTAATTTTGTAGCACAGACCAACTGGTCGACGCTTCGATTCGTCCAAAGGGATTCGATGATTGGGCGCGATTGTGGAGAACGGATTAAAACGACGTTGACCGGCCGCGGTCGGCGAGCGAGAGTTCGAAAATAGACGGGTAACGAGAGATACGAAAATAAAGTTTATAATTGAGTCCACATCGTGGGTCGCGGCATTATCCGAATAAAAATTTCATTTAGACAAAGAGGTTGGATAAATGAAAAAAAAAAAAAAAATTAGCTTATCTCTACCTGCGGGATAAACGTTCCGTTCAAATGGAAATTCATTTGAAGTTAATAGCTATCTGCGTAACTCTTTATTTGATAATAAAATAATACTTTTAATTATAGGTGCTTGTTTGTTTATGATGTCCAAGATAATTTCTTTCAATTGGTATATCAAATCAAGCCCTTTTAATTAAATTTATGAGTCTTTTATTAAAGCCGCCACATAGAAACGAGTGTGTAATAAAATTCATCGAAAAGAAATTAAAATTTTTTTTATTCCGCAAAATCATGTTTTCGAGTATTTTTAAATCCTTCTCGAGTTCTTGACACGAAATCTAACTATAAATAACGATAAATCTATTTTACGATGCTGATAAAACACAAATCATTGAAAATGTCGCAGTATTGTAACTATTTTATATCCACGCGAATACATAGAAAACCGGCTTTTACAGACGGTAAGGCGATAAATAATTGTCAGCGCAGTAAACATGCCTCCATAAATACACAGAGTAAACGTAACGTGTATGTGTAACACAAAGAATCGGGCGATTGCTTAAGCAAAATTTACCTTAACGTGCTAAAGCTTTCAGCGAATTCTTAATTGACGCGAAACGGGAAACATGCATAATCGGCCTAAAGAAAAATAAACGTTTCGGATGAGATAAAGAAGGAGAGAGAACAGCAGAGGACGCGCAAATTCACCGTATGAATTATACGATTATTGGCCTCGTAACTTTTTCTCGCTATGATGCAGTTTCACGCACAACCGCGCTTTAATAAGCGCTTCTCCACACGATGGACTTTTCCTCCGTGTTTTGGATCAGTTTGCAATAAATTTATTTCGATAAGAAAGATGTGTAGCCGGCGATTCAATAATTTTCGAATTATAAGAGATTATAAGAGATTGAAAGCGGATAAAAATTCTTTTCGGGACAAGCGCAACTTTGATAACAAAATATTACTCTTTATCTAATGTCAAACGAACGTTATTTGACGTAATTTGAAATTGATGTCAGTTAGAGAGAGAAAGATACAAGACGACATAATAGAAAATTCGCTAGGAAATGCGGACTCAAAGAAAATTCCCAGTAAAGAAAAAGTCGACTCCAAATTGGCGGACGGAATCTGCAGACGAAGGGAAATGCGCAGCGGAATCCAGGACATCCTGTATATACGGAGGCTTTAGACTCTCCTGGTTTGTTTATTTCAGCAACTGGGACTCGGATTAAATCGCTCTCTATCTCTCTTTCTCTCTCTCATTCTTATTTCAGCCGCTGGAAAGTGTTCACCCGGTAGGTACACAACCGTCACCGACGTCCGCATAAATTCCGCGATTAATCGCCGCGCGCCGCCGATCAATTATTGAGCGCGCTTTTTATCCGTGCTGTAACGTCGCCGACGGTGGCTTTCGTCTGCGCGAACCGTACATATTTACCTTTCCACCGTATTACGGGCAATTCTATGTAGATCTTACTTCCTTCCCGCGCTCGGCCATTAGAATTTCAAGCGTGGATCCGGCTCACGGAATTTTCGATAAAATCACCTCGCCGTCTCTCTTCCTGGCTCTCGGCGAAGAGGTAGAACCGGCGTAGTTCTTAAGCTCTATTCATCGCTCGATCAGCCCGTTTTATATCCGCTTTAATTTATTAATTTTATGACTTGGAAGCTTGGCAATTCGAAGATAAAAAGAGAAAAAAATTGAAACGAATACCCAAGCATTTAACCAAGAATTTAGATAGCTTTTTTTTGAATTTTGTGTTGCGACCTCCTTCTTGTTATTCATTCTCGAAGGAATAATTTATGCAA